AAACTTTGATCCATGCTACAAATTGATATAATTATTCTCACCGGGCAATTTATTTCAGTGTCACACTAATCAATGCAGAATATTAAACTATGTAGTCACATTCATTTGGATTTAAGCCAAAATATATACACAGTGTATTATTTTTGTGTAATGAACAATGACAGTTACAGATCCGGCGTTATCACTCCATATACTTCTGTTTCCGTGAAACTAAGGCACTCCAAGCGAAAGAGTCAATCATGTGTGTTCTCAATTCGTATGTTGTTAGTGTAAATCCATTCTTAAAATATTAAAAGCCAATCAACTATATAGTAACCAGACAGTTTTAAAACACATTTCTATTCAGAAATCTTTTGAAACTAATCATCTGATATTTTAAGTGAAGATGGTATACGTGACTTGATAACTTTGACGAGCTGACCCATGATGGATTCGCTCACAGAAGTGGTCAAACTATAATCTATGGACGAACCAATCATATTTGAGACAACAGGTCTCTGATTTTAGCGCGAAATTCATCCATTCATTTGGCCATATACTATTTCGGATTTAAAGCTAATGTCAACTCGTGATGAAAACACTAAATCTAATTTCTAACCTAAACAATCAACTATAAATCATAATTCTAATTCCTAACAATTTTTTTAACCCCCATTTATTCCTAGTTAGTAGGTTGACATTTTCAAGGTCACTCTCGTTGCTCAAAGGTCGTCCATAAATTTTAATCTCACTGTAGAAGTGAGATTATTAAATTTCACTGAAACTCCCAACATTGCTCGTTATTCTCCTTAAACAGATTGGTGAAGTTTTTTTCTACCAGACTATTATTGTTTAGCAACGACATAATATTTTTCATGCGAATTGTAAAATATTTGTTGAAAAATTCTGGTAACATTTTCGTATCTTACGTTGACATATTTTTACCTTAAAATGTTTGGTTTTACCGGTAAGTCATAATATATTTTAGACAGTTCATGTGCATATACAACAATTCAACAACACGAATATTTATCTCAAACTCAGGATGGTCGACACTGGCGCATCACGGGTGTGGGGCATAAAGGTTTTTCCACTAAAAAATCAGTATTTCTGCCAATAACATTTTAAATTAACAGCATAAACTAGTAAAATGAAATTTCAACTATATTTATATTGAAACACTTTTTAAAAGCCTATAATGACGCCGATAATGCAACAAACTACTAATTCTCGTCATTATCACTTAACAAAATTGATGTTCTCGCTTCTAAACTATTCAAATAGAATCAGTATATCTTTTGATTTGATTTAGTTTGCTAATATTTCTTCTGAAATAATTAAACGCTAGCTCATCCAGTTGGCGTCTAACAGTTAAGTAAAACATTCCATAAGAACAAATTTACTTACTTTCGCTAATTATTTTCGTCTTACAAAAACGTGTCTTCGTCATACTGAAAAGAAAACAAATTACTATGAACATAAAACGAATTTTCTAAAAAGAACCCTGAGAATTTTCATTATATTTAAAAGTTGAACGTTTATTATAATTCGGAGGAGGGGTTTGTGGAGATTTTAGTAATTTTATAGTTGAATTTGTGAGAATGGGAATCCCAGAAGCACTGGAGGGCCATTTCATCGTAGTATGGGACTGAAGGCAATGGTGCAGTAATTAAAACCGTCGGATACCAGCTCAGTGGTCTAGAGGTTAAACAAGACCGATAGATCTTGGGTTCAGATTTCGCGATACAGGATCGTGGATGCGCACTGCTGAGGAGTCCAATACTAAAACAAAACGGCCATCCTATGCTTCCATGTTTTCCATGGTCAATCAGTCAGCTGCAACGTAGGACCAGGCACGTATATGCATCGGTCCAAGTTGCCATACCGCATTAGCACAACAAGATGAACACCGGATTCATAGAAGTAGTTAATTCAGTGGTGGTAATATATAGAAGAAAGAGTGTGTATAAGGAGATAGTACAGGAAGAAAGAATTAGTTCCTAGAAAGAAAGATATGAAGCGATTTTAATCTCTTAGTTTAAAGGAAGACAGAGAGTGTATACACCAACGCCATTGTGGTCGATTCTAAGCCATGTCACCAAGAGTCTACAACCATTGGTTACGATAGTCACGCGGACCCCAACCAGGCAGTCTGAATCTTCCAACATGGCTCAGACCAGAAGTTAGTGACTTCAAGCACTGATGCCACGTTTTGGTTTGGCCGCCCCTAACTTTCTGCCAATTATCCCTAACACCGGTTAGCATTGCACGTAATCGAAGTTCAGGCATACGCAGTACGTGGCTCAACCATCTCAGTCGATGAAGGTTCATAACCTCATCAACTGATTTAACATCATTCCCTAATACCCTGAGTCTAACCTCATTATTACTTACCCAGTGATCCCAGCAGATACCAGCAATATTTCTAAGGCATCTGTGGTCAAATACTAGTAACTTACGAGTACCTTCTACTCTTATTGGCCACGTTTCGCAGCCGTATAGTAGAACGGAACGAACTGTTACTCAGTATACTCGTCCTTTTATTGATAGACGGATATTTCGCTATCACCATAGATGACGTAAGTTGACAAAAGCCAAACGAGCTTTTCGAATCCGCGCTGAGATTTAGTCAGACACCAACCCATCAGACTTCCAAGATAAGTGAAGTTGTCAACGCGTTCGACTACTTCACTTCCTATCCTTAGTTTCGGTGTTAACGCAGACCAGTCCTGCAGCAACAACTTGCATTTAGAGGGAGAGAAGCGCATCCCAAACATTCTAGCATTGTTTCTCAGTTCTACCAAAAAACTATGCATTTCATCAGCGTCTTCACCAAACAGGACTATGTCATCTGCGTATTCTAAGTCAATAAGTGGACCTCCTGGTAGGAGATCAATACCCGAGAATTCAGTCGATGAGAGCGTTATTTCCATCAGGATGTCTATGATAAAGTTAAACAAAAAAGGAGAAAGTGGACAGCCTTGACGGACACCACTTGAGGTTGCAAAAGCGAATGACAGTTCGCCATAAGCTCTGACCCGACTAGTAGTGTTCGAGTAAAGAACCTTCACAAGGTTTATGTACTTCTGAGGTACGCCTTTCAACGACAGACACTGCCACAGAACCTCTCGGTCAACAGAGTCAAACGCTGCTTTAAAATCAAGGAAGACCATTATTGTCGGACGCCGATAAGTATGCCTGTGTTCTAGAACCTGACGAATGGTGAATATGTGGTCGATGCAGCCACGACCAGGTCTGAAGCCAGCCTGATTTTCACGTGTTTGCAGCTCACGAGTCTTAGTTAGGCGTCCGAAAATTATCGAAGCTAGTATTTTAGATATTATATTAGTTAAACTAATCCCTCTGTGGTTGTCACAGGATGATTTTGACCCTTTCTTAAATATTGGGACGATAAGTGATTGTGATCAGTTAGATGGGATAACGTCTAACTCCCAGATTTTAGCTAAAATATTCGTCAACCTAATCGCTAAAACTAGACCACCATCCTTAAAGACCTCTGGGGCCAATCCGTCTGGACCAGCTGCCCTTCCTCGTTTCAGATTATCTATAGCCTTTTGAACTTCAGCTAGAGTTGGGGTACCTACTTCAATGTTCCATTCATACTGTCTGGGAATAGTGGGTAGTTGTAGAGTAGATGGAGTCCAGATGAACTGCTCCTTAAAGTGTTCCGCCCATCGTTCTAAGCGTCTGTACTGAGAGCGGATGAGTGCCATTTTTACCATGATTGTCTCACTTACACTTGACTTATTAATTCCAGTTTCTTTTATTAGTCTGTAGAGTTGTCTTGTGTTCCCTATAGCCGCCGCCTTTTCCATCTCTTTTGCTTTCGTTGCCCACCACTGCTCACGGTCGTTCCTTAGACTTTCGCTTAACCTAGATCTGATTAGTTTTCGCTCTTCATCGTGTTCAGGGCCTGATGGGATGAGTTTATGAGAATCTATCAGTGAAAGAGACTTAGGAGAAATCCAATGCTTTTTTGTAACCCTGTGGTTTAAATCACTAACAGATGTCGCTTCCGTTTCCACAGCTCTTCGCATATCTTTCCAGGCAACATCTTGGTCAACCTTGTTTTCAGAAATAACTGAGTGTGAGCTCAGTTGTTCCTGGAACCTACTTTCGGTTTTCTCATTACTCAGTTCAGTTTTAATGGGTGTTTTTAGTGTGGCTTTTTTGCGTCCAGTGAGGTGCAAGCAGATGGGTGCTCGTATCAGGGCATGGTCGGAGTCAAGACAGGTACTCCAGAATGAGCGACAATCTTCTATTGACCCTCTCCAACGATGACTGATGGCAATATGGTCTATTTGAGTCCATCGTTGGTTTGGTGCACGGGGTCGCCATGTTAGACGATGTCTCTCCTTATGCTTAAAATTTGTGTTTGCTAAAAATAATCGGTTGTCTGAGTATAGTTGCAGCAGACGATCACCATTATGTGTTCTCTGTGCCGGAATACTAAAATACCCACCTAAATGTCTTTCTGTTTCGTTTAAGCTATCTACCTGGGCATTAAAGTCACCTGCTATAAGTACTATGTCTAAAAGTTTAGCTTTCTGAAGAAGTTCAGACAGCTTTCTGTAAAATTCATCTTTCACTTCATCCGAACTACAGTCAGTGGGAGCGTAGGCAGAAACGACGAAAAGGCAACGACGTGTGTCCCTATCCTTTCGAGTTCTTACGGAGCTGTTTAGCTGGACAGCGCATAGACGACTGTTAACGGGGATCCACTCTAATAGCGCTTGTTCCGCCCTCATGCTTAGTGCTATGCCTACACCTGTCAGCCCATGAGAACTGGCCATCGGGTCGCCAGATACACGGAGGGTGTGTCTCGTCGGCACTCCGTTCTGCCGAGGTGAGGTCAAGTGAATGACTACGCTAGGATCCTGTATGCGTGTTTCGGAGACACAGAATACATCAATCGTACGAGATTCTAAGGTTTTAGCCAAGGAAGCTATTATTCAAATATTTTCCTTTGTTTTCTTTTTTTGTTTTTTTTTCATTATTAGAACATGTAATACCATCATCAGAGAAACGTTTAATTAAACAATTAATTGATAATTATGAAAAAGCTGGCAAAATTGGACGTCCAGTTAAAAATACTAAAGATCGTGTAGTTGTTGGTTATGGATTGTCATTATTTCAATTATTAGATTTAGATGAGAAAAATCAAATTTTAACAATAAATGTTTGGGCAAAATATGTGAGTTAAAGAAAAAGGGTACTTTCTTTTATCTAATTTCAAGAGTTTATTTTCGAATTCTCTTGTTTTTCTTTTAATGAATAATGGTTATCTTGAACTTATCAACAATTATCTTTAAAAAGAAAAAGGAAAAGTGGTTTTTTCTTTAAATTTCATTATTTATAACAATTAATGTCCTGGAAATACACAACAGAAAAAATCAAAAACTTTGCATCAATTGATTAAAATGACGAAATATAAACAATTTTACATGCTAAAAAATTAATTAATAGTTTCAATTTGTTATCGTCTACCTCAAGTTTGTACTGATGATATTTTTCAGAATAACGATAAAAGCTCTATGACCAAACCATCCAGCCCAGAGAATAAAACTACCTAAATCATCCATCTGATCTACAAAGTCTTCTGTACTATCTCAATGTGTCATCAGAAAATAAGTGCCAAAGTATGACAAACATAAAAATATACAAGAGGGTTGGAAATGGTATATATAAGGATTTTATTCTTGTAAATAGTATTCGGTATTATTTTTAATCAAAATATAACTAAATTCATACACTTCGGTGCGTGCTACTTGTATCAGCCGATATAAGTAGTATGTTTCATCAATAGAAAGTGAAATGACTGGCTGTAGAAGGTTAAGAAGAACGAAGAAAAAAGAATGATAACAACGAATGATTGGTGTGGAAGTTAAAGAATTGTGAAGTCTAAGACAACTGGCTAATATTTTGCAAATAATGTATTTACTGTATGGTTCTCAGATTTTATTAAAACATTTTGTAATTTTGTGTACAATAGATTGTAATCGAACAATGGTTTTGAGGAGATTAAAGTAATTTAATAATTAAATTCATGAGTCACTTAAAGTTAGACTACCATAAAAAACTTGGAACCACTAAACGGCCATTTCGTCTTCGATTGTTCCCACTTGTGTTCTCGTTCATTACAACACTAATTTCACGTCGTCAATGATAATCCAATTTAATGCAAGAACATGTAACTCACATTAGATTGAATAAAATTTCTTCAAATGTATATGTTTTATACAAACTATTCACTGATTAAAGATGTTATAACTTGTGGCCTGTGTGCCCTGTTAATGGATAAGTAATGATACCACCAATTAGGGAGCAGCGAATTGTCGATCAAACCAGTGGCGCATAAAACACGTACGAGCAGTCCAGAGTCCTGATTCGTCCTAGCTCAGCCAGTTATGTCCAGAACACCAATCTCAGTCTCTGCAATATGAATCATTTATTTCAAACATACTCGGTTTATATGCCAACCAGACATACCGCATCGTTCCATAAAATAGGAAACAACATTTATACAAGAATTAGCCATATGTGACTGTGAATGTGGGAGGTAGTAATTAATAGACAGGACATAATTCAAGAATGGTAAATCATATAATAATAGTTCATAGGCCAAAATAATGCTCATAATAAGAGGGATATGAATATGAACGGTAAAAATATACTCATAATATTGATCCATAAATGGATCCCAACAGTTACCATTCATTATTCTTATCGGGATACAACAAAATATAAGTTGAATCTAACCAATATTATTTAAGTGTTAATATATACAGTAAAATGACTCTATTTTTAATACTTAATCAGCTGAAATAAAAATTGAAAAATAAGCAATTTATAAATTAATTTAGCTAAATACATTCAATATAAACATCAATGATTATTCTATTCAATCAAATAATGATCAATAAAAGTATAAAATAATGAAGCTTAAAACAACAATTTATTAAAGGATACATACATTTGATCTGTTAACTTTAAGTTGACATAAGACAATTAAGGAAAAATTCAATTTATTTGATATTCTATATTAAATCAATCTGAAATATTTGCCTACTTAATTGTTTAATAGTCATCTGTTCATAAAATTCGTTTTTATGGATACTGCTAACTATTATCATTATTTGTATGTATATAAAAACCGCGTAAAATTAATAGGCTAACAATGAATTATATTGTGAATGAAGTAAACAAATTAAAATACTTTAATCATACTTATTAAATGCACTAAAGAATATAAATTTATGTGATTAAGAAACGACCGATATACTGTGGTGTGTGCAATTGATATCAACAGATACAAGTAGTATGTATCATCAATAGAAAAGTGAAATGCCTGGAGGCAGAAGGTTTAGAACATAGAAGAAAAGAAAACGATAAAAAAGAATGATTGACATGGGAACTAAAGAACAATGAAGTCTGAGATGATTGGTTGACATTTTGCAGAAGGAACAGTCAAGTTTAAGACAATTGACTGACATTTTGCAGATGAAGAGGTTACTGTATGGTTCTCAGATTTTACTAAGGTACTCTGTAATTTAATGTTACACTGATTTATTTGAATTAGGCAGAATGAAAAACATACCAATAATGGTGAGGAAATATCACAACTTGGCAGAAATTACATAATAAAACCACTGACTCATAACTCAGTAATTTTAAATTTAAGCGGTAGCCTCAAGGTCTGATGGTCCTGTTCCCGATCATTGAGAGTGTTTTACGTGAATGCTGTTGAAGATTCTGATTTTAAAATAAAACAGCTATTTAGTACCTCGTGATTTCAATAATTGTTCAATTAGATTCATGTCGTGATGTGAAAATTCAAAGTGAATAATCAAAACTACATTGCATAATATCAATAGCTTTTTTAACGGTGATAAGTGTTTATTTAATAAATATGTCATACTTACGTTTAAAAGTGAATGGTAGCATGAGTATGATTAAAATATTCCTTAAGTCATGATGTACTGAAATGATTAAGATTTATGTCCCAAGTGGAAGCCTTTTGAACTTTTTTGCATTACCAGAACTGAATGATTAGTTCGTAAATATGTCACTCATACTGGAGAGGATTGTTCAGGCCTACTTCAATAAAAATGCTTTCTTAAGAACTAGGCACAAATATATCTTCAAGAACAACAAAAAATCTTCCAGTTCACAAAATACAACACAAAATATGTATAATATATCCTCATAGCAAGTATCTGAATATTGAATAAAATTCAGTAAACTTTTTCAACCGAAATAATGATCAATTTTCTTAATCCCTTACAAAATCAAAACCTGGTAAACTATCGTCATAATACAGCAGTTAATTGGTTACACTCATCATATCCTCTTGTTCTGTTAAGGCAATTATTGTTGTTAAGGAATGATTTTATTTATCTTTTGTTTGTAAAATTTGTTTTATGTGGGAAATCACTAAGGTTACTCAAAAGAAAAAAAACATATAATCTATAAATTATCTACGCTGTAAAATAATTACATTTATACTCCTATAAGATTGAATTCTTCTTCCTCTGATTCATTTAAATTGGAAATAACGTTTACTTAATTAAATATGGTAACATTGTAGGTATAATACTCATAGGTAATGTACAGCTTCTATTTTGAATCGATCTAATATTTGTTTAACATAATGGTTACCAAAGTAACGTTTTGTTTATGAATTTTGAAATAACAAAGTTATCCAAATTAAACAAAAAGTATAAAAATGATATCCGGTCAATAAAAACAAATGAATAAAATATAATTTATAGTCTATGGTTTACATTCTACATAGAACAAATAATACAGTAACAAAACTTGTATAAATGATAAATTTAATATAATTGTTCATGGTTAAAACTATACTGTAAGAAAGCCGATATCTAATGTATACATATATGTATATATGTATATAATGTCAACCTATTTCTTGTTAGCATTCACGATTATATCTTGTATTTGTTGATAAATTTGAAAATTTCAATAGTTGAAATCATGAGTCAATTGAAGCTAGACCATCATAGAAAACCTGAAAGCACTGGACGGCCGTTTCTTCGTAGTATGGAACTTCTCAGCAGTGAGCATCCACGATCCCGCTTCCCGCGAGATTCGTACCCAGGACTAATCAGTTTCGCTCGCGAACGCCTAATTATTAGTCCAACGGCGTTAATTATTTTTTAAATTGTTTACTTCATGAACTACATTGACTTAAACAAAATGAAACGGAATAAATAAAACTGATTAATGTTGTCAATAATATGATTAAGAGAAATCGTTTTTAAATATGGCTTTTATTATAAACATATGTATATTTTTTCATATCATAATGCTTAAAAAAGTAATAAAACATGGTTGATATTACAATCTTATTACCATTGTCACTTTATCCAGTGAACAGTATGTCTACTTAATGATGGCTAATATTGTACTGAACGAGAACACATGTGGGGATAATCGAATGTATAAGGACACAAAATTACAGAATCTCTTAATAAAATTTGAGAATCATACAGTAAATACTTAATTTGCAAAATGTCAATCTATTGTCTTAAACGTGACTGTTCTTTTGAAAATGTCAATCAATCGTCTCAGACTTCACTGTTCCTTCATTTCCATACCATTAACTTTCTGTTCGTGTTGATTTCTTGTCGATCTTCTCAACTTTCTGCTTCCAGATATTCTATTCCTGACTAACGTTATATACTACTTATGTTGATATAAATAGCACACACCACAATAATACTAGCTCAGAATTGTGTTATCTAGTACATGATTGAAAATATAATCTATTCGAGAGCTATCCTTGAGTAAATACTAAACGGAATAACCCACATTTAAATATGCTTATAATAGAATTATAACTAGAACGAGTGAGATTATCATGTGTCACTAAACTTGTAAAATATATACTTTTCTACACCTGTTCACATGTATTCAACGGATCTTGAGTGTATGGTTCAGAACGAACGCCTAAATGTTCAGTAATCTGAATTCCGCCTCAGGAAGGATCTTCTTTAGAATTAAATGACTTATATTATCTTATTTTAAATTGTTTGAAAAATCACACTAAACATTGTTTCAATTGGCGAAATTTCTCGTGATTTGGTTATTCACGTATTTGACAGATCTCCCGATAGAATGAAGAAACTAATCACTTAAATATGTTTTTTAATGATTTTCATGCTTACGTAGGTTCATAAAGGAAATTATCTTCAAAAAAATCATAGATAACTGTAAGTATCTATACCAAGGCTTGATTTGATAATTTCAAACAAACCAAGTATTGGGTGGAAAGCTAATAAATAACATAATGTATTTTTGATATCCAAATAAGCAGAAGTTTGAATGTCTAGTGTTTCGTGACTTAATATAATCTATTTATTTGGAGTAAATCAATAAAAAACCGAAATAAATTAACATAAATTTGACTTGAACTAATTATTGTTGGATAACAATCAATGTTCAAGGATGTAAATTTATTAATGTTATTTTAATTCATTATATAAATTAATAAAACATTTATCTACTTTTCAAAGTTTATAAAAAATTAGTTTGTTTCGCAACATTTCATATTGAAATGTTATTGCCTGAGTTACTACATGTTGATAGATTGGGTCTACTAGACAAGACATTTTAGACTGACAAAAGTTATGCATGATATGAATAATTCAGTGATAATGTTTGTTATTATAATATCTTCTAGAGTAAATTGAAATTTTTGATAATGAGTTAATATTTTAAGAAATGTAAATATACTACTTTAGTAACCTGAACTACTGATTCAGAATCAATTATGAAACTGTTTGAAATCATATAGCATCAAATCAAATCTACCAACATTACCATGTATCTAAATGTGGTGACAAATTCAAGCTAGGTAATTCAATCATCAGTGATTTATCACAATCAGTTATATCATTTCAGTCTGTAATATATCAAAGATTGCTTATTTAAACTATTTAATATATCGTGTATTTTTTTATCTTCATTGCTTAAAACATTGAATTCAAAAAGCCTAAATAAATAAAAATCAATATTTATGCTATAAAGGTTTTAATCAGCTATCAACATACAATTGTGCTTATAAATATTCTTCGACATTATTTTATCAAAATCATTATTGAAACTTGAACGATAAAATTTAATTAACACTGAGTAGGATTCCACATCCATGACATTGGTCACTACTCAGTGATTGATCATGTGTAGATATATTTCAGTCCCATAGGTCAGTCGTGGTCCAAATAGCTCAATGGTAACTTCTCTGACTGTGAAGCTGTGTGATATAACATTGAATCCCTCACAAAGGATTAGTTCTCTGAAGATTATATGTACACTTTTCTAATGAGTGCTAAAAAGCATAAAACTGACACCAAACACTGCCTCGTGATATATATATATATATATATATATATATATATATATATAAATTTATGACGTGTTTATATTTTTTAGACATGGATTGACCAATTACTTCGTTGGGATCCAGCTAATTATTCAAATATACGTGAAGTACGAATTCCACCAAGTGTGATATGGACACCAGACATTGTACTTTATAATTAGTAAGTAAAATGAGTCATATTCTAATTAAATGTAATTATTTATTTATTAGTCATTACATTCAAAGCATTTATTTTCTTAAAACAAAAAATATAATTAGAACATATTTATATTTATATCTGGTTTCGAAGTATCATTATTTCTGTCATTTTTATTGTATCTATAAATAATTCTTTCTAGACAATATGTAACAATCAAAAAGTTTATAATAATGATATTTATAACTTGAAAGTCGTCGCTGATATATCACTCAGAAAACTATTAAGAAATCCACTCCAAATTGAATTTCCAACATACGACATCGGCAAAATTTAATGACAATTGGCTTTTGTCGCAATATTTGATCATGATTGTAAAACGATGAGGAGTTTTTTCCACCAACAACACACTTGATCAGTAGTCTTTAGTTTCCAGTGGTTCCACATCTAATAAAAGTTTTTCGGAAAGAAAATCCCATGTAATCATATGACATTTTTATTTTGTCTGTTATATGCCTAACTAAAGTTAACTTCGAGGAATATCTGAAAATATTATTACTTGGCATATTATTTTTATTTAATGCTGACAGTTAATTGATCATTGAATAGTAGTCAGTGTTATTCTTGTTTAGTCTTTAATAACTGAATAAAGCCTATTAATCAAGTTGTAGCCACTAATCTAATTGGTTCGACATTACATGCACTATTTTGAGGTATCAGCTGGAACAATATTTGGTTTTTTACGACTACCCTCATCTACCTTCCCTTTACTTAATGTTTCATAAGTTAAACTGATCTATTTTAAAGTGACTTACTATAAAAGAATAAATATTAATTGTATTTAGAAAAATATATTACTGGATTTGTCATACTAACTAAGCAATTGTTGTGAATGAACTAGCTCAAAGAGTTTAGAATGCCTAATAATACTCAGTTTCAACTGTGAAGCCGTTATAGGATAAACAACTAGATTAGTTTAGGTAATTCATTATTTAACATCAACATATAAATGATTGATAACAAATAACTGTACAAAACCAGGTTAGAAAGATTTTTCGTCAACAGTTTGAGATGTTATAAAGTCTATAACATTTGCTTATTAATAAATAATAATTGAATTACGTCTAATTGTACTGAAATTCAGACTTGTATGTTGAGAATAGAAGGCCGATGGCCTGTTCTATTCCTCTTCTAGTAAGCTTGTGTGAGTGCCTAATCTTCTGCTGAATGAGTAATTTGAAGGTGTGGATACTGCTATTCCCAGTAGTAGGTTCCAGAAGTTTATGACTCTGTGAAAAAATCAGTATATTGTAGGTAGTTTTATCATTCTTGGCTTTTGAACTCACCTGCTATAGCCTCTGAGCTGTCCTGACCTATTAGGGAAAAGAAGAAAAGAGGATGTATCAAGCCGAAAACCATTTTTAGGTTTTCTTTATTATCGAAATCAGATTAATTCTTATTTCTAGAGTAAGACAGAATAAAGAGGTATAACTTCTCAAGCCTCCCTGTGTACGGTATGAACCAAAACTGTCACATAATCCTGTTCAGTCAGAGTAAAGTTATGAATTTTAAACAAGTTCAGTTTTTGATAGTATCGATAAGGAGAACTTTATAACAAAATTTTAAACGATTTGTTCTCAAAAAACGGAATTAATTGAATGATCCAATCTGTATTTTTTAATCACACTTTTTAAAGTGTCATTTAAAATTGTTTTCATATGCACATGTAGCTAATTCATATCAGAAGGGTTTTTGTGGATATTATAGTGATTTTAATGGTTGAGATCATGAGTCAGTTGAAGCTAGATCACCATGGAAAACCTGGAAACACTGGACGGCCAGTTCGTCTTATTGTGGCACTCCTGAGCAGTGCGCATCCACGATCCCGCCTCGTGAGATTCGGACCCAGGACCAATCATGTAGTTAAAACAAAATTTACATCTCTACTTTAGTTAAACTTATTTAATAATCTAATAATTTGCATATTAGTTTATTAACATTCAGCATAAATTGATGAATACTAGTACCATGATTCTTAGCTAGAATAAATAAGCAATAAATAATTCATATATTTCTAAAACAATATTTATTCACAACAAATGGTTAAACAGAACATGGGTAAGTAGTATGACATTTTTAATGTCATATATAAACCAATTGTATATTGTCATTATAAGAGCAAAAATAAACTGAAAATTTAAAACATGGTTTATTCATCTGATAAAGCATCATGACAACAAACATATTCGACGTGAACTAATAAAATCAAATTAAAATGAGTATGAACAAATCTGTAGTGACGTTTTTCATATAAATCGGAGGAACAATATTGATGTAAAGCAATTCTAACTTACCGTTTAATAAACTACGCAACGTATACTGAGCAGAGGTGGATAGGTATTTAATTACAAATACAAAATTTAGTTGGTAATACATAAACAATACCTATAACGTCGTAAGACGTCAAGCCTATGAGATTCAAGTCACACAATATACACAACATCGTTATTGAGTTGATTATTCAAAATTTAATGTCATTCGTTCAACATTATCAGCTAATAATTGTAAACACAATTGATTGATCACTGGGTGACCAATGTCATGAGTGTCTAGTCTTTATTATTAGTGCAGATCGAATGCTATCGATCATGTTGCAATGTGGCCACCAGTCTAGGTGACTGGACACCGCGGGCACTATTGTAAGATTCGATGGTGGTTGGAGGTAGTCGACAGGAAACCCTGGACCCGGGTTTCGTGCTACTTGGCACTCGTCAGCAAGGTGTACCTGTAATCTTTGAGGGAACTGGTGCTCCCTGGCGGATTCGATCCCATGTCAGCTAATAATTGTCCCACTTTCAATTTGATTAAGCTCATAATAAATTAATTGTTCTACATTTTCGAACTATTTTCCTTAATATCATTTTTAGTGCTGATGAACGTTTAAAAGAGAAACGTGATGTTATGTTGAACGTTGATTATATGGGTCGAGTATTTTGGAGTCCACCAGCTATATTTAAATCAAATTGTCCAATTGATATAAAGAATTTTCCATTCGATTATCAACATTGTTTCTTAAAATTTGCGTCATGGACATATAACAGTGAACAATTAGATTTACAATTTTTAGACAATCGTACTGAAGTTGATATAGATCAGTATACATCAAGTAATGAATGGTCACTTGTGGCTAGACCAGCATATCGATTTGTTATGTTATCTGATGAATGCGGTAAAGAAATACCAGATTTAACATTTTTCTTATTGTAAGTTATAATTATTGAGTATTTATTATATACGTATATAAGTGAACATTTCTAGCTTTTATATCGTAATCTGTCATTGATTAAATCAGTTCCTTGAAATATGAATAATTATTTCATTTCAGTAGTAAAATATTGACAAATTTTGATTCAAAAATACTGAATACAGTGTGATTTTATAACACACTAGTCTGGTGGAAAAGTGGTTATCCTGAGATCTAAAGGTTCATGGTTCAGTTCATTGTAAGGTGAAGAGTGAGCAGTACCAGATGACTCTTCATACTCTAACAAAAATGTTATTCAATGCTACCTATTTTTTAGTAGTACTTTAAATGTCATCAGCCCGTGGTAAAAACCACCTACAAATTATGGAACTTTAGAAAAAGCTAATTTTTAGACTCATAAATAATATTATGAAGATCACTAAATGTCTGCACTTTTTAGCGGTGAACGACTTAAAAAATTGTTATTATCAATTCATCGATGACATAATCATGCTGTTTGTGTTATTATTCTCTATATATGCGTAATGGAATGTTTGTTGTTCTGTGAACTGAATGATTTAGTCGTATTGTTTTCATAGCTCCTCCCAAAGCATCATCCGTGCATACTTCAAAAACTTCATCCATTATTATTATTTTGCAGTTGACTAAATGTTTGTTTTTTCACCTGGAATTTGGTAAGTCATTCTCCATAATTCTGTTGCCGTTCTAGTTTAGAGACTTCAGCACCACCAACGTATTTAAGTATGTGGATTTACTAGGTAAAATTTTATTATTCCGACTACAGTGCCTATGATAATTAGTAGTCTGAGTTATTAGTTCCATCTCATACAACTGCGTTGCATTACTGCATTTATATATTGACCAGCAATTAATCAATTTGTTTTATCAGTTACAAATATCATTCTCTTATCAAACCGTTCTACATTATACATATAAGTCCAATTATGTGAACAATAACCAAGAATCATGGCTACCTAAACAACGTGGACTATCATGATTGTTGTGTGTAATTTCAGTTTGTTTTTATATCTGCAAACTAATTTACTAAACCAACTGAAAAATCTATGTAATAGTATCTCTTTAATCCATAGATGATAGAATTGGATCAGTCATCATGATGATGTACATATTTGTACCAAAATAAAATATTAAAAATGTTGATCAGTGTGTATGAATGTTTAAGAGTATCACTGTTAGCTTTTTTCAATAGGCTGCTTATAAACAATCAACATATTATCAATACATGATATTTACAACTTTCACCTTATTTAGTTTCCTATCATCACCTCATGTATAAGAATAATCAGGCACAGAATAATTAGGCAACCTGTAAACTTGAACAAATAAGCTTAATGAATGGAACACAATATAAGAATTTCACAAGCAAACTTCTTTATTATCACAATGCTCAAAGTGAACATTTAAAATCAATCTGATTATAAGAAGGTGCTTGAAACACAATACAAACAGTTATGTAATAACTATTTTATAAAAAAAACAATCAATTGATAAATATCTAATTTTCTTGATGATTTGTACAAAGTCATTACATTAAATTTTGTCACATTCTCAATATTTAAAAAAAATAATCGAATATTTAAATTTATTATTCAAAATGACTAAGTTTATTGATTTAAATAGGTTATAATTTATATTTTTCAAATTTCACGCATTTAAAAATTGTCAATCATTTTTACTATTTTAACTTAAACAAACAATCACTTCATTAAACATATACATCAATATTTGCAATAATAAAAAAAGGGAAACAATTTTTTTTGTTTTATACAAACGATAGAGAACAATTTTGAAAAAAATTAAAAAAAATAAAAACTAAAAATAAACTGTTTAGAAAAGCTGTAGAAGATTAGCTTTTAGAAATTTCAAATCAACATAATTATTAGCATTTAATTTTATTTTTCTTCACGGTTGGTATTAAATCTTTGTTAAACAAATGGAAAAAAAGAAAAAAGAGAGAAAGAAAGGACTAAAGAAACAAAAGAAAAACTAAAGTAAAAAATAACTGAATAAATTGAGTTTTGTTTTTCTCTATTTATCAACTTAAAGAGACTGGACAATTTTCAAGTAAAAATCTCTTTTCAACTTTTTTCAAAGAGAAAAAAACAGAATAAGTTAAAAGTAGTTGTATAGAATGTTTTAGAAAATGAAAAAAAATACACAATTTTTTAAATGTGATAATGTAATCAGTACTTACATTTCATTATTATGCATAGAAACAAACATTACTTTATTTCATTTTTTTTCATTTTTCTTACTTAAATCTTTTAAATTTGTTCTATTTTTATATTTAATGAAATTTTTTTGATAAATCGTGGATGTACACTGCTGAGGAGTCCCACAATAGGACGAAACGGCCTTCCAGTGCTTCCAGATTGTCCGTGATGATCCAGCTTCAATTGACACATGATCTCAACCATTGAAATTACTATAATATCCGCGAATCCCTTTCTGATATAAATTCATTTTACCAATTACAGGAATATTGTAAATTATATCATAAACTGATTGTAGTTAGACGATCAGTTAAAAATAGAAATCATTGAATGGTTGTTTAACTTTAGTAGTGTGATATTTCAAGAGTGTACATTTACAGTAATAAAAAATTGTTATGTAATATTGTGAATTGATTAAATTCAAATATGTAAAGTATTGGATTTTGGCACAGTTGTTGAATGTTCTTTGTTAATTTGAAGATTGTGTGTTCATTTATTGGTAGGGTCTTGGATACATGCATACTTAAGAATTCCATATTAATATAAAACAGCTGTTTAGTACTTGCCAGTTTTTAATAGTTGTCTAATTATATAATTAATCAATATTTTTTCAATTATTTCCATCTCTAATTATTGAGTAATTTATTCACTGCAACGATTTCGTTCGAAATTTATCGTTGTAACCAGAAAAACAAACGAAGTAAATTATAGTTACCAAGATCTTTTGTGATGTAAAGATTAGAATTCTAAGTAACATTTATTAAAATATTAAAAGCTATCTGATAAACACTGGAATTATTTGTCAAATTAATGTTGCTTCTTTGATAACAATTTTTATTCATGTTTCAGTTAAACACATTTTTGATTAAACAACCTATTTAGCTGACTAGTCTCAATTTGCTATTTTCTGAATAACCCTATTTTCAACATCTTTTTACATGATTTTGTATAGCTTCTGAAATAATTAATGACACCATTTAATATATAAAATCAGTAAAAGATAGATGGGGTTGAGTGGTTGTCTTAATTTAGTTTTGAACTGTTGAGTGTAATATATACACAAAATTGTAATAACCGCTTTCGTGCTCTGTGAAGATGATGATATTATTTAGGTACTCATTTAGGACCCAATGGATTGTATTTTTTTCAGTCGATATAGTTTTTCTGTAACTCATAAATCACTAGATATCTTCTGCCCTAACATTCTCTATCATTGCTTTTCCCTGGGATATTATTATTTATTTAGGGAGTACATGATTTAACGTCTTAAAATTATATTTTATCAGGAACCAACATCTTGATTTCCGATCAGTTGCTTTTTTTGTTTCACTTAATCCGTCTGTTCTACACTTAGTTTAGATGCATTTCAGCATAAATCATCACATTACTTTACATACTGTCGAACTCATAGAATAGTATGCTGATTATTTTTGCTCACGAAACACTTCAACTAACTGCTTCATGGAGACTGATTCAAATCAAAAAACTTTTTTATCATTGACCGATTTTTTCTGAGAAATATATGTAGACCAAGAAGAATAACTATTTAACCCTTTCAACTTATCATTTATTTTATGAGTTGAATCTGTGTCCTTTAAGTTCCGTTGTGGGTGAGTGAACGAACATGCTATCTTTAAATAGTAACCAAATCGTTCATATTTCACTCGTTTCTCGATACAACACAATTACTATCAAGTATTAGTGATTAAAATTGTTCCATATTTATAAACTATTGTACAAATTACTTATTATCTATTATTAAAAACTTTCTATATTGACATGAATGAATTTTGTTTTTGAAAACTAATACAAATTATTGTGCCTTCATTTTTTGAATTTCTTGTTAAAACATTTCTTTACGTTGATTCAAATAATAAATGGTGGTAATCTATACATGCATATATATGAAGAGAGAGAAAGCAAAGTTTTTCATTTCATTCAAGTATATTATTTAGGTAGTATAAACAACGTTTAAAAAAACGTTTTTCCCTATTCGTTGATCAATTGTTAATTGTTTATGACAAGTATGTATATTTATGGAAATTATTATTATTATTAGTAGTAGTAGTAATAGTAGTAAATACATTACAAAATGGTTAGTGTTAACTTGTAATAAATTTAATTAGTCTAATGTATTGATTGTATAATAATAATAATAATAATTTTAATGATAATTTTATTTCTTAGAAATAAAACAAATTACCATGAAATGGTTTATTCAACAATAAAAAATTTAAACTATGAATTAAGTCCAAATAGATAATCATTAAAATTTAAAGATAAAACTATTTAGCTATTTTTCTGATAGTAACAGATTTATTTAAGAGGGTAAATCCATAATTTTATCCAAGTTAAACTAAGAAATAGATCATCGTTGAAAATTTTCTAAAATAGTTTACTATGCAATGCATAATGATTTATATATATTTAGAGACGAATTTTTGTGGATATTATAGTAATTTAATAGTTGAATCCACGATTCAACTTCGCAACTCATGAATTGGTCGAAGTTAGACATTAACACCATTACATGCCGACTCAGTGGTCTATAGGTTAAGCGTTCGTGCGCGAGAACGATAGGTCCTGGGTTTGAATCCCGCGAGATGGGATGCAGGATGAGAACTGCTGAGGCGTCTTACAGTAGGATGAAACGTCCGTACAGTGCTTTCTTAGTTTCCATAGTGGTCTAGCTTTAATCGACTCGTGAATTCAACTATTAATATATATATATATATATATATATATATATATTTATTTATTTATTTAAAGACCAACGTAATTGAAATCAGCTGATTTTAAATGTTTAATTTAAATTATTTACTAGAAGTAGATTATTCATCTTCCACTAGTGACGAAAATTCACTCAAATGTGCTAGGTAGATTTTTTTCTGTAAATTTCAAATACTCACTTGACGAATGTATGTTTTCTTCACAATCGAACAGATTATCTAATGAATAATAGTAGAAAATCAAGAAACATCCTTATGTAAAATCCGTCTCAACATACCACTGAGATAAGAGATTGTTTAAATATAAACATTAATACTGCTATTTGTATTTGTTTACAGGTTTAAATGTGTGAAAAACATATAATTATTCTTTGATGTTTGTATTTACCATTTACTATTATTATTATTATTTTTAGCTTAAAACGTAATCCTGCTTTCTATGGATATTTATTAGTTTTTCCATGTGTATTGCTAAGTGTGATTACAACAGTGATATTTTGGTTGCCTCCACAAATTCCAGCTAAAATGATTCTTAGTAAGTGTATAAAATTTTAATTATAATTTTATAACATTACATCATTATTCTCTGTTTTGTTTGCTTTCCTAATATCTTAATCAGTATATAAATTTGATTAAGTGAAAGTATTTATCGAAATTAGGAAATCTCTGTAAATTTTTCAAAATGATACCAATTATTCACTATACTTAAGTTAATTATCATTGTTTAAAATCTAATTAATCGTTAATGATATATATATATATATATATATATATATATATATATGGGATTGTGAAGATTGTTCAGTTTTTGATTGAGATCATGAATCGATCCATGTTAGACCGCCATTGAAAGCCTACGAGTAGTAAACGGCTATCTCGTCCTAGTATGGGACTCTTTAGCAATGCGTGTCCACGATCCTGCATGCAGAATTCGAACCCAGGACCTTCGTTCCTCTGGACCTTGAGACCATTGAACCACGATTCAACGGTAATAATGTTTAACTTCAACCAATTCACAAAATTGTGCGACTATCTTCCGAAGTCCGAGTTAGGAATATATATTTATGTATATATTAATTTGCATAAATAACAACAGTAAAACAAATACATCGTATCTTAGGGAAAACGTTATAGTCTTTAGATGATTTCATTGTTTATCTATCAGTTTAATTCCTCTGATCGAGCTGGAGGTTATATCGATCGGATAAACTATATTCTTCGTATGAACATCTTAAAGTATTGTTTTATTTGGCTTATTAAGCAAGTATTCTGGTCAATTAATGAATCAATTCTTCAAAAGTTCATCAATATCTGCATTACAATCATGTTCTGGATATTTTACAAGATCAAAAACTGATACATAATAAAGTGTATAGAGATTTAGAAATTCATTAATGAAATGTTGATTGAATATTGATACATGTAGTTTCGTCATTTTACTGTGGTTTGTAATGTCCCATCTATATTTCGCTGTTCGGTAATAAGCTGTATATTCATCAAGTGAATAATTGATTCTAATATTACTTAATCATAAACCATTTTTCCTTAATTTCCAATGACTCAGTTCCTTTACAATTGTTCTGATATTTCTTTCTTGATGTTTAACGTTAACAAGCACTTTTTATGACTCAGTATCAATCTATTTTTACAATAAAATATCTTGATCATAATGACCTGTTTATTCAGTACTATATATTCAGCAAAATATGGGGTTTTTATCCCGACAAGTTGCATTCATTCTTCATAGGGATCACTACATACATTTAGAGAGAGAGTAAAACTGAATGATAAATAACATATTTACGTATTTCATATTATATGTACTCAATACAACACTATAAAGTTTTGTGTGCACCGATTCTTATGTACTTATGTCTTGTTCTGTCAGAAGATATACAACAGAAAAGACATAAGTGGAATCGTTATTTTGAATCTGATGAAGAATCACTCTTTAGCTATTTCAAGTTCTTCACATGTCTGTTCGTAACTGCACTTGTAATAAATTAAAAAAATTCTCCACACACTTTACAAGTAGCCGTCAATACTCGACGTAACACACTAAATTCTTTTCATAGAAATTCAAGAGAAAATGAAGGAGAACATTATAAGATAGTGGGTAATATATAGGTTAACCAAAAAACAGGTAACCGGTTTATGCAATAAGTCAGACGAAAAGCATTCTTTGATATTAGCAAATCATGAGTAGATCAATAGAAATCAGCCGAAACACAAACATCAAGATAAACGAAATTCGACATGGTTTCCATTAAATAATCTCTAACAGTACAAACGTCATGTGGTTCCAGAAAATTTGTTTAGGTCTTTTTAATGTCTTAGGTTAAAGCTAACACTTTAACAATGAGGAGGATTAGGTCCAAACCACTTATAATGAACCATCATTTAATGTTTATTTATTTAACAACAATTAGAAAAGGAGGAACATAATGAAAATACGATAAGACTATTTGTATACCTAACAAAAGCTCTTTTTGTGGTAGATGGCAAATCATGTGAGAAAAAAGAATAGAAAAAGTGAAATAATAGTTCCTTGAGACATACTAACTTCTGTTAATAAATGAGTGGAACACTTATTTTCATTGTTCTCTTTCAGAATAGTAAAATTCCACCCACATGATTATCCATCTCACGTTATTAATACTAACTAATTTCTCTATATGTTGGAGGTTTCGGAACAGCATCGAAACAGAAGCGTAGTGTACAGAAGTAAATCTAACATACTTATTATCCTTTTCTAAATTGAGGACTCTATTATGGTGCACGATAACTAAGTCATCTAAAGTACTTTTTTCGTATTTGTAATCAAATTGATATTAGTTAAAGCACTCCTTTAATTCATACTGAAGTGTAAGTGATAACAGTTCATCCATTGTATTGAGAAAAGTAGAAACTATTGATAAAAACCTAGTTTTAACATTTTTATCGCTAAACAAATTCTTCACCATTAAAATTACTTTTGCTAGTAACGACGAGTCAGTTAAATCTAGACCACCATGGAAAACCTGGAAGCACTGGACGGCCTTTTCGTCCTACTGTGGGACTCCTCAGCAGTGCGCATTTATGATCCCGCCCCCTGCCAGATTCGAACCCAGGACCTATAAGCCCCGCACGCGAACGCTCAACATTTAGATCACTGAGCCGACATCCATAGTGGTCTAGCTTCAATTGTCTCATGATCTTAACTATTAAATCACTATAATATCCGCAAAACCCCTTCTGATAATAAAATTACTTTTACACCCTTCCATATTATACGTTAAGAAACTACAAATGCAACTGTAACCCTTTATTTATGAAATCAATTTTTTTTAATGTTTCTTCGTCACAATGTATCGATATATTCATTACTTCATAAATCATTGTCTACTAAACCAAATCTTTTTATATTTGATAATGTTCTGTTTTAAATTATGTTATTAAGGTTAAATGACATTGATGTGTGATAAAGATTATTTTTCATGAATCATTAATACTAATCCTTATTCAATGGTCAAAATGTGATTTATGAAGTGTTATATCCCGATAAGTATAATGAACAAATTGCATAGCAAATTAATTTAAAATCTACTGTATAGACCATTATATTTAAGTAAGAAATGAAATGTTATGTCTGTAATAGTACTTCAATATTATTCAATCACGTAAAAAACTTTAGTTGTAAATTGTTAAAGAATTACAAACAAGGAACAAACAATTATTCCATTTTCACACACTTTGTGATTTCGAATGGTTCTGTTATGTCGCGATAAGCATAATGAATGGTAACTGTTGAGATCTATTTATGGACCAATACTATGCGTATATGTTTATCATATAATTGTTATGTAACTAAACTGTTCATATTCATATCCCTCTTATTATGAGCATTATTTTGGCCTATGAACTATTATTATATGATTTACTATTCTTGAATTATGTCCTGTCTATTAATTACTACCTCCCACATTCACAGTCACATTTGGCTAATTCTTGTATAAATGTTGTTTCTTATTTTATGGAACGATGCGGTATGTCTGGTTGGCATATAAACCGAGTATGTTTGAAATAAATGATTCATATTGCAGAGGCTGAGATTGGTGTTCTGGACTTAACTGGCTGGGCTGGACAGGAAGCAGCACCGATATGTACTCAAGACCGTTCGTACAGATTTTATGTGTAATTGGTCCGGCCGATAAATCACTGTTCTCTAATTGGCGGTATCATTACGCTATACATTAATAGGAGACTGTGCACAAGTTATGACATAAAGACAACCAAACAATGAATCATTTAGTTACTAATCAATTTGATACTCATTTAGCAACATTTGTTTCGGTCTGTATCTTTGATGCAATATACCGATACACAATCACATATTACCCCTTATCACATTAATTTCATTTCCATAGATTGAATATGTTAAACCCCATTTCTCATATTCTATTTCGAGTTCATATAAGTTACATTTCATGAGTGGGGATTCATTGCAATGAAAACGAATTCATATTACCCAATTTCATTCATCATAATTTCCTATTAACAAAATTTCGTAAATCTTATAAGAAAAGTGTGAAAGTCAATTGAACATTGAATTTATTCAATATTCATTCAGGAAAAAAATTCCTCCATGAATTTCTTTTTCTTTACGAATAGTCGTTTCATTCAATAAATTTTTTATAATTATTAGGTTTTATTACTATTGTGAACAAAATGATTGAAAAATTTAAAGGAAAACAAAATATATCTATTATACACAGAATATTCATAAATAAGAAACTAATAATCAGAAATTAGGCGTTGGTGGGCTAGACTGATAGATTCTGAATTCGAATCTTACGGGGTGGGATCTTAAATGCACACTGCTGAGTAGTCTCACAGTAGGACGTCCAATGCTTCCAGGTTTTCCATGGTGGTCCATCCTCAACTGACTCATGAACTCAACTAAAAAACGAATAATCATCGTAAAATTTATTAATAGAAGACCCAATAGTATTTATTTATTCATGTTAAAATAGTTTTAAAAAAATTATTTAACTGAAAATTTGATTATTCTTGTCACGTGATCAAATTTATGTTAAAGAATATTAACACCAGAATTATGGTTTGTGCTACTTATGTCGACATAAGTAGAATATAGCATAATTACATACATACATACATACATACAAACATACATATTTGGGCAGCATCATCGATGAACACGGTGGATCTGATGCAGTTGTGAAGGCACAAATCGGTAAAGCGAGAGCAGCATATTTACAACTGAAGAACATCTGGAACTCAAAACAATTGGCAACCAACACCAAAGTCAAGATTTTCAATACAAATGTTAAGACAGTTCTACTGTATGGGGCAGAAACCTGGAAAACCACAAAAGCCATTATCCAGAAGATACAGGTGTTCATTAACAGTTGTCTATGCAAAATACTTCGGATCCGTTGGCCGGACACTATTAGCAACAACCTACTATGGGAGAGAACAAACCAGATCCCAGCGGATGAAGAAATCAGCAAGAAGCGCTGGGAGTGGATAGGACACACATTGAGGAGAGCACCGAACTGTGTCACAGGACAAGCCCTGACATGAAATTCTCAAGGCCAAAGGAGAAGAGGAAGACCAAAGAACACATTACGCCGAGAAATGGAGGTAGATATGAGAAAAATGAACAAGAACTGGATGGAACTAGAAAAGAAGGTCGAGGACAGAGTGGGTTGGAGAGTGCTGGTAGGCAGCCTATACTCCATTGGGAGTAACAGGCGTAGGTAAGTAAGTAAGTAAGTACGTAAATTTTGAAAGACATGATTATTTAAACTTGAATCAGTCAGCGAATTTCAATACTAAATTTGAATTACAGTTTAAAATGACATTTTACAAATGGTAATAAACAAACCATGGAAAACATGATTATATACCTAAAATTTTATCAATAATCAATAAAAATCATGTTTATTTTCTTACGTTTCAATAGTGATCTATTTAGCTGATCAATAAATTGTTGGCTTTCACTCGATTTCTTTTTAGTTTAACTTGTTTATTATCCAAAAGAAAGAATTTCTAGGGAATAAATTTGTTTGTTTGTTTATTTTCCTTATGTTTACTTCTTTTTCACAATCATTTACATATTTTTTTCCTTAATTAAAAAGGTATGAATATATTTGTGGCTTTTTCGTTGTTATTAAAAATACTTGCTGTTTCTACACCATCGGCTTCAACAATAGTACCTTATTTGGGTAAGATAGTTTTTTTGATATGTTATTTGTTTCCATTCACTTTATCTTTACTACTTATTGGTGTATCTGATTAATAATAAAAATAATTCCAGTAAAATGACTGTTGCAATATCCTTAGTTATCTATTCTCCTGAAGTATTTATGATTTTTCTATAATTTATTCATGTCTAAAAAATATTGAATAATAAATTAACGGTATAAATACAGACTAATGATGTCTACACTGATTTTGTATAAACATTTAAATAAGACAATACCAAGCTGACATAATCTTTTGAGTTTCTTAAGTATTCTCATCCAGACATTAAAAGTACAAAATGAGTGGAAAATTATTTGTTATAATTTATGTCTTTATCATAGGTTGGCACTAATATATAATTTTATATTTAAATACGGGATTAATAATGATGGTTAGTGCACGGATTTATGAAGATTGTCGAAGTTTATAGTTCATATCACGGACTAACCTTACTATGACAACCATTAGAAACCAGAAGAAACTGAAATATTATTTTGTCTTAGTATGGGACTATTAAACGTTAAGCACCCACATTTACACGGAGGATCACACTAAGAACCTTTGGATCAGAAGAAAATTATAAATTTTTTGACTACTGAAACTTTATCAAACTTGAGTAAATATGAGAAATTGCTCAACCATCATCTTGAAAACCCTAGGTTCATTCCTCAATGAGATTAAGGTCGTGGATTACCGCAGTTTCATGCTAATATGAGACACCCATCTAGTTCTTTCTGGTGTTTAATTACTGTCTAACTACGATCGACCCGTGCTGTAAATTATAAAATAAAACAAAAGAAATATTGGTGAGTAATTTAACATCATAATGATAATAAAACGGATTTTTTAACGTCTCATTTTAAGTTCCACTAGGCAATAATGAAGAAAAAAACGGTTTCTGTAAGTTTGAATTTAAAAATTCAATTATTGCAAAAAATAATTACACAACAACATAGTTGAACAGTAAAGATGTACCTGATGAATACACACATGGTTAGAGGAAGTTGGCAATTTATTCTTCAACTCTTTGGAATCAATATTGGTCAACCGAGTTACAAATAACTGCTCCTCTCATAACCTTATTAGGATGACCGACTGAATTATCTTTAAACTATAACTTCACAAATAAAAAGTGGTATTACTGGAACAATAATATCACTAAAAGGTATTCTTAGAAGTAATAATATGCATAGATAAGTCTACCATCAATATGTCCTAAATTCTTAATTAAAACTAAACGAAGTATGTCAGAATCCATGATTCAAAAAAATGGAATGATGAATGAGAGATACTCAGTGCATTTATAGAATATTAAAATAATTTGTTTCGTAATCTCTAAGTAAAAACTAATTAATTGCTCATTTGTTTTTTACATTCATTATAAATAAATAGAAGTGAATTTATATTATTATATATAAATGATGAATAAATTAGCATAAGGTGTTGATATTACATAGAATCTGATCAATCTGAATAAAGATACACATGTCAATATTGAACAAAAATAGCAACTAGACTATAAGTATCATTTTGGCTTGAATTCATTCGATAAATAGACTTGATTATTAAGTTTTTGATTGAGATCGTGAACCGATTGATGTTAGACGACCGTTTGAAACATGGAAGCACTGGACGGCTTTTTCGTCCTACTGTGGGACTCCTCAGCAGTGCGCCTCCACGACTCCGCTCGCGGGATTCAAACCCAGGGCCTTTAGTCTCGCGCGCAAACGCTTAACCTACTGGGTTATGATATGCAATAATGATGTAAAATGTAAAGTATGATTACAATACATGAAATTCGAGAAAATATTCTTCAAATGTTTGATTATAATGAAATACAGAACAAAAATACTTATGATAAGTAGGAGAGTATTAATGCTTGAAATATCAACAAAATAATTATAGACCGATTAATTGAAGTCCAACACAAGATATATGTTGATTAAGATTATATCTTTGTTAAGAAACATCCTGAAGAGTACATATGACATGATGTTTAAATGAAAATTTCGGAACACAAAACTTTAAATGTAATTGTCATAGTCATTGAAATGACATCATGGTGACTAAGCTTCTATATATGAACTCATAAGATGATAGTCATTTTAATCTCTTACATTTTTGACTAATTCTATTTATGTACTTGTAAGATAGTTGAAATTAAAAACAAGAAATGGATTACGATGCCATTTTAGAAAAGAAAAGTACAATTTAATGATCTCAAATTTTATTGTTCAAACAATATATTTCATTCATTGAATATTTCATTTTGACTTCAGTGTAATCATGTATACATCGAAACTTTAATACAATACCTGATCAATCATATCTGTTTATTTCAATCCAACTAACAAGGAATTAGATCGACAAGCATTGAAACATGGAAATAAACACAATACTATATAATCAAAATATATCTATTAAATGGATCATAAGATACTTTTTTTCTTATTTCCTAATAAAATTAACGAACTCTTCATTTACTGTCTAAATCTCATTAGTATTTTTTTCAGCTAACATCTACCTATGATAAAACTTCACTCTGCTTAAACTTAATTAGTTAAAAAAAATTAAGTTGTGTTATAAACAATATAGGTACAATAACGGGGCAGATTTGCATGTATATATCATGCGATTCTCTTTGAACCTAGCACACAACAATACCGTCATGAACTGTCTTATTGCCCTTGATAAATCAGGCAACCCGAAAACCATAAGGACACCATATTACAAGCCAGGTACCTCATAAACTATATAACATATCTGTTATTAAGACATTCAAATAAACAACAAGATTTTAGCTTAGATATTTACTTATTGAATATTGATTTCTCCCCATGCATTGAACTACACTAGTATCTATGAATGACAGATATACTAATTCAAAATTTAGAAATTCGGAAGCGTATATATGTATTTACTAAGTTTAAACAAAATACATTTTAGTAACTAAACCATTGTGAATGATACAAATCAGAAAAGAAAAAACAAAAATGAGATTTTATTTTTATAAATAGTTAACTATTTCAAGGTAACAATCTAAAAACGAACATACGAAAATACATTTTGATGTTTGTAATAAATATCTATAATACTATTCTACTGATATCTACTAAACTAGACAGATATTACTAATATGTTGATAAACATTGAATAAAATACAATATCAATAGTTGAGATCATGAGTCAATTGAAGCTGGATCGCCATGGAAAACTTGGAAGCGTTGGACGGCCGTTTCTTCCAGTATAAGACTTCTCAGCAGTGCGCATTCACGACCACGCCTCGCGGGATTTGAACCCAGGACCTATCAGTCTTGTGCGCGAGCGCTTAACCTCTAGACCACTGAGCAGGCACCCAATGATGTTAATGTCTAACTTTAACTAATCCACGAAATACATTGTTTTTCTTCAAAATGGAAAGTTTAAAACAATGAAGTTATGCAATTCAAAAGAGTGATTATAAATTTGTGTAAGCTAACTGATCTAGTTATGAAACTATTTGTTTGTTTTTAACAAATTTCAATAACTTCTTATTTATAATGACATATAATAAATTATAAATGGTATTCGAACTATCAGATCTGAGTACTTTTTATAGAAAATATGAAGTACATTGTAATTATTCTAATAAGAACGGATTATTCACATTTTTTTCAATGTAACTTATTGATCTAACACGTTTAGTTGAATATTGAGAGCAAACGTTTTAGTTAGTTTCATATGAACCAATTTTATTCATGTCACATATTTTTTTAATCCTTTTCTAATCAAATTTAACTGTAGTTCGGTAATAGTTAACAGTAGAATTGATGACGTTTATATCGTCTTATTTGAAACTCTTCAGCTGGATACTTCTGAATTACAGTGTTAATGTTCATGTTGAAATTTAAACCTGTTATTTTTCACTTCAAACACCAACACTTTATTCGTTGAGCTAATGAGTTCTGATAGTTCTGCTAGGTTTGAAGTGGTTACGAGTTCTCTTAGACTGCGAACGGACTAAAGATCAATAAACTAGCTATTCTATTACGTTCCATCCCCGCTAACTAGAGAGAGAAGTCAAAGTCCGAAAGGGGAAGTATATTCCGCAAAAAGCCAGAAGCATGAGCGTTAACAACAGACACAAATCAAAACGTATATATAAAGCAAAATACCGTCTTTGGGAAGATTTACAAAATAGTATACTAAGAGACACAACGAACCAATAGCATTTAAGATTCTCCCAAGTGGGAAATATGACATGAATGTAAAAAGAGAGCTTTTGGCACAAAAACAAAAAAATTCAAATTTTCTAAATAAAATTATGACATTAGGTCTTTTTCCAAGTGAGTTCTGGGGATCTAACATCCCTTACAAGTTCTAATTAAATTACATTGTTATACTTATAACATTAAATGACAAACAAGCAACTTAAAACATAAATATTAGTAACAATCTGGAAATATAATCAAATTCTTTCCCCATATATTAAAAACAAAATACCACTTACTTAGGAAAATCACACTGAAGTTTTAATTTGTTAATTCATGCGTTACACATTGTTTAAATCAAAGTGAAAATATTTTTTCCATTTAAATTAAGTAGTACATTAAATCAGTAGTTTACTGAAACAACCCAATCCTAAATTAACTTAAGTATATATACAAATCAAATGCTTCACATATTTTGTAGGTAATTTGAAAAATATTCAAGTAGCCAGAAAACTGAAAACTATTTTATTTAATTTTATGAACTAAATTGATGTAAATCTGTACACTTAAGCTGGGTAGAAAAAAACAATTTGTACCAAAATGTCATTTTATGAAATATGAAGCATTGCAAATATTGATTTACTAGCCAAATAAAAAACCAGTAACTGATTAGTCATTTGATCAGTTTCATAAAAATCAAGCTCCATTTTTTTTAAATATCTGGATCATAAAAAGGTACTTCCTTTTCATGGACTAATTATTTAGTGGCTAATGTCATAGTCCTTTACAGCTGATCAGTGTCTGTCAAATAAGTTGTGATGTGGCGATTTGTTTAAATGACTCAATATGACGTGCATTATTTCGTGATGTTATATGCTTGGAGGTGATTGATAGAAAGTCTTGGGTTTATATTTTATTTTAGTTGGCACTTATTGTCAAGTCGTATATGCAATACAAGGTTTCCCGTTGAATACCTATAAACATTCAGTTATAAATACTTTATTACCGAGTATATCATAATAAATCGATTAAAAAGTTACTTGAATCACAACAGTGATTTTAATCAATGAATTACATTGCCTACGGTAAATATCTGTCCCACAACCGACATGTACATCATTTGATGCCAGCTCAGTGGTTTGGAGGTTAAGCGTTTGATCGAGAAACTGACAGTTCTGTTTTGATCACTTGCTGTGGAGTCATAGTTACGAATTACTTATAAACCCTTCATTAGGATAAAACAGTTGTCCAATGCTTCCTGGTTTTCAGTGGTGGTTTAGGCAAGTTTTGCTAGTCATTTAAACTGTAAAAAGACCAATATTACATTTAAAATAGTTACTGGATTACTATGTACAATTGTTCGATTGAATAATTAATGGAGATTAGTATAAGCTCAAAAGGAACTGTAAATAGTTTATTTGAAGGTATTTGTCAGGATTAATTGACTCTGTAGATTGTAGTCATCACGTTGGATGACGGTCTTGCAGTTTTGCAAGTTGATTTAAATTGATATTGTAGATTAAATGCCAAATCAAAGGTTCTAACGGTTAAGCGTCTGCCACGAGAACTATAGGTCAATTTTTCAGTCTCTCTATGGGCGAGAATGTAAGTAGCATAATAGGACGAGATAGCTTACCAGGTGTAACTGGCTTTTAATGTGATCCAACTGAAGTTAGTCTATGGTAAATACAACCCAATGATTATTAAACTAATTACAACTCATGGTTAAAACTATTTTGACACGAGATGTGTTCTTAATTTTTTTTATTCCCAGATTATTTATTAAAACTATTTGCAGTAACTGTCTTTATTCTATTTGGCATTTAATTATAACACTTAGTTATTCTTTCATGTTCACAATTTTAAAGGTAAACGTAGAGAAAAAACACCAGTTTCATTGAGATTATGAACCATCATTTAAAACCTGAGAGCACTGGATGGCCTTTTCGTCTTATTATAGGACTCCTTAGGAGTGTGCATCAACAATCTCGCACGCAGAACTCAAATCAGTCTTGAGTGCCAATTCTTGACCTCTAGACCTCTGAGCCGGCATCCAACGGTGTTAATGTCTAACTTCAGTTAACTCGCCGTTTTATGCGACCATCTTTAATGAGTAATTGTCTCACAACGGACACGGTTGAACTTCATTGTTCATGACTTTTCATTGAAACTCCTAGAATTACCTCTCAAGTCTAGTTTCCAGAGATGAAATGATAATGACCACTATGGAGATTGTTAAGTTTAATTATGTTCATGAAGTGATCAATATTAGACCATCATTGAATTCAGTCAAACATAGAAATATTTGGCCATGAAATATAGATTTATTGATGATAAATTTACACATTTATCATTCTTATTTTGGTTTTTATTTTACATTTTTAGGTTACTTTTATTGTTTAAATATGACATTACTTAGTTTGTCAACATTTGCTTCGACAATTGTTGTACATTTACACTTTCAACGAGTAAAATCAAAACACGTACCACCATGGCTTATAAAGGTAAGTGATATTTTTTTGAAAACTCAAGTATTCTATTTTATATATGTTGGCTTAATGATTATTGATGCGAAACAATTTGTATGGTAAATTTACTAAATATATTACAAGATGACTGAAAACAGAATTATTTGTCTAGGGGAACTTTAAAAGTTTATTTAAGACTGACAAAAATATGATATTTCCATAAACAGACATGTATTTGAAGAATTCCTGATTACTGGATAGTATGAAATATTGTTTTATGCGACCTTTATTCTAAATAGAGTCCTATCAATCAAGCTAAAATGTATCCACTAGGCTAATCGACTTGAAATTTTAGTACAATTTACTGAGTGTTAAATGCTTATAAGCAATAAGTGTAAAATTATATATAACGTTTCCATTCTGATTAATGCATAATACTAAGATTTCTTCGGAATTATGTCGAAATTGATGCTATTTAATAGATTCGAACTTGTTTCACCCACTGCCATAGTGAGCGAAGTTCAGTAGATCACAATTGTCACTTGGTTCCTAAGTATTTATTAACATATTACCTAAGGCTCTTAAGAGTGATGTAAAACGTCTATTGTAACATCTTGAAGTGTAATTCACATAATTTGAATTTAAAAATACACCAGGGATGGTAAATTGTTTCATCGTGATTGTTTTTTTGGAGTCCAAAACAATTTGAATTGATTGCTTTCCTATATGTTCAAAGCTGAGTCACATAAAGGTAGATAAAAAACACTACTGTGTAGTACAGACGTTTGAAAAGTTTTTTAAGTAAACATCAGATTGTTATCCATCAAATTCATTTTGTTGACTCACTAATGTGCACCAAAACAATGTATGAACTATCAGTAACTGCTAATGAACGATTACCGTACTGTTGTAGTGAATGAGAACACAAGTGGGGACAAATGAATGTATTTGAATAAAAAATTACTGAATGTTTTAACAAAATCTGAGAACCATATAGTAAATACTTCATTTGCACAATGTCAGTCATTGTATTAAAATTGACTGTTCCTTCTGCAAAATGTATATCAATCGTCTCAGACTTCATTGTTCTTTCATTTCCACACCAATCATGCTCTGTTCTCGTTCCCTTTCCTTCAATCTTCTTAACCTTCCTGCTGTTTGAAGCAATTACGATTCTGGAACCAGACATTTCACTCTATATTGATGGCACATACTACTTATATCTGTCGAAATCAATATCATACACCACATTGGTAAACTACAATGAAACTAATCTGTAATCAAATGGATAAAATTTTGTATCGAGAATATTTTAATTTTAGGCTGAAAAACCGACCGTGAACTATAAGGAACTGCTGCATATATTAAAGTTCCTTTGCATTACTTACTTACTTACCTACGCCTGTTACTCCCAATGGAGTATAGGCTGCCTACCAGCACTCTCCAACCCACTCTGTCCTCGACCTTCTTTTCTAGTTCCATCCAGTTCTTGTTCATTTTTCTCATATCTACCTCCATTTCTCGGCGTAATGTGTTCTTTGGTCTTCCTCTTCTCCTTTGGCCTTGAGAATTTCATGTCAGGGCTTGTCCTGTGACACAGTTCGGTGCTCTCCTCAATGTGTGTCCTATCCACTCCCAGCGCTTCTTGCTGATTTCTTCATCCGCTGGGATCTGGTTTGTTCTCTCCCATAGTAGGTTGTTGCTAATAGTGTCCGGCCAACGGATCCGAAGTATTTTGCATAGACAACTGTTAATGAACACCTGTATCTTCTGGATAATGGCTTTTGTGGTTTTCCAGGTTTCTGCCCCATACAGTAGAACTGTCTTAACATTTGTATTGAAAATCTTGACTTTGGTGTTGGTTGCCAATTGTTTTGAGTTCCAGATGTTCTTCAGTTGTAAATATGCTGCTCTCGCTTTACCGATTTGTGCCTTCACATCTGCATCAGATCCACCGTGTTCATCGATGATGCCGCCCAAATACGTAAAGGTTTGTACATCTTCCAAATCTTCCCCGTCAATTGTGATTGGATTGGTATATACTGTGTTGTATCGGAGAATCCTGCTTTTCCCTTTGTGTATATTGAGACCTATTGCTGCTGATGCTGCTGCTACACTGGTCGTCATTTCCTGCATTTGTTGTTGCGTGCGCGATAGGAGAGCCAGATCATCTGCGAAGTCTAGATCATTCAATTGCATTCTAGATGTCCACTTTATCCTGTGCTTCCCTTCAGATGTTGACGTCTTCATGATCCTGTCGATCACCTTGAAAAAGAGCAAGGGTGAGAGTAAGCAACCTTGCCTAACACCGGTCTTTACTTCGAACGACTTTGTCAACTGTCCTCCATGAACGATTTTGCAATTTAATCCATCATAGGAATTCCGTATGATATTGACTATCTTCTGAGGCACGCCGTAGTGTCGAAGAAGCTTCCATAACGTTGTTCTGTCCACGCAATCAAATGCTTTTTCGTAGTCAATGAAGTTGATGTAAAGTGATGAATTCCATGCAATTGATTGTTCCACAATGATCCGTATAGTTTCGATTTGGTCTGTACGCGATCTATTCTTACGGAATCCTGCCTGTTGTTCTCGAAGTTGGGCGTCTACGGAGTCCTTCATCCTGTTTAACAACACCCTGCTGAAGACTTCTCCTGCTATCGAGAGAAGAGTGATTCCTCTGTAGTTATCACAGTTGCTGAGATCGCATTTCCTCGGTATTTTGACCAGAATTTTTTCTTTCAGTCTTTTGGTACCTGTTCCTCATCCCAAATCTTTCTGGAGAGAATGTGGAGTATCTTTGCAGTTACCGCTACGTCTGCTTTCAGTGCCTCTTCTGAAATGTTGTCTAGTCCTGCTGCTTTGACACACTTGATTTGTCTGATAGCCATGCTGATCTCTTCAATTGTTGGTGGGCCAACATCGATTGGGAGGTCCGTGCGTGCTGCTTCGGTGTTGAGTGGGTTCAGTGGGGCTGGTCGATTCAAGAGTTTTTTGAAGTGTTCTACCCACCTGTTTCGCTGTTCTTCAATGTTGGTGATTACCTTGCCTTCCTTGCTTTTCACTGGTCGTTCTGGTTTACGGTAGTTTCCAGAGAGTTGTCTCATGTTTCCTTCTCTAGCAGCCTTTTCCGCCGTCATTGCTAAATCTTCCAGATATTTACGTTTGTCAATTCTGATGCTCCTTTTCACTTGCTTGTTTACTTCTGTGTATTCAGCTTGCACCTTGGCTTTTTCTGCTCTTGTTCGGCTGGTATTGATTGCTGCCTTCTTGTTCCTCCTTTTTTGAATCTTATCCAGTGTATCGACCGTGATCCAATCCTTGTGATGGTGCTTCTTTTAGCCCAGGACCTCATGACATATTGAAGTGATTGTCTCTTTTATCTCTTTCCAGTTGCTCTCCATAGTAGTTCCTTGTCTATTGAGTAGATCATGAAAGGCCTGGAACTTATTGCTGAGGGTTATCTTGAATTTGTTGAGTTTGTCAGTATCCCGAAGAAGAGCCGTATTAAACTTTTGTGATAGTGTCTACCCCGTTGTTCAGTTCTTCTTGAGTTTCAATTTCATCTTGGCGACCAGCAAGTGATGATCTGATGCTATATCGGCTCCTCTCTTGGTTCTCACGTCCTCCATCGTCCTCCTGAACTTTTTGTTGATGCAGATATGGTCGATTTGGTTCTGTGTGGTGTGATCCGGTGAAGTCCATGTGGTTTTGTGAATGCGTTTATGTGGGAATATAGTGCCGCCTATGACCAGTTTATTTAAGGCACATAGATTTGCAAATCTCTCACCATTTTCGTTCCTTTCTCCCAATTCGTGTCGTCCCATGATCTCTTCATATCCGGTGTTGTCAATTCCAACCTTTGTATTTAAATCACTCATCAGAATGGTCAGGTCCTTTGTTGGGCACTTCTTGACGATTGACTGCAGCCTATCGTAGAATTGATCTTTAGCGTCTTCATTGTATTCGTTGGTAGGCGCGTAGCATTGGATGACGTTCATTGTAATGCCCTATTTCTTCGTTTTGAAAGAGGCTTTGATGATCCTTGGTCCATGAGATCCCAATCGTATAAGTGAATTTTGTGCTTGTTTGCACAACATCAATGAAACTCCTTGTGCATGTGGAGCGTTTTCGTCTTCATGACCGGAGTATGACAGAAGCTCCCCCGAAGCTATTCGTTGTTATCCAACTTGCGTCTAATGTGTTTCACTGATCTCAAGCACCTCTAGGTTGCATCTCCTCATTTCTGCAGCAATACGGAAGACTCTCCCAGTCTCCCACATTGTACGAGCATTTCATGTACCTAAATAAATGGTTGCTCTGGTTGTCAGAAGGGGCATCGGCTTCATGACTTCCGAAGGAACTCGGCTTTCATCATGAGGCGTCATAATTCTTCTAAACGAAGACCTTCTGACCCCCAGGGCAGATTTTAAGTGGTCTGAATATTTTTTTCTGGTTAGCGTTTTTTAACGAGTAAGTTTTCTACGGGATGGGGTTGCTAACTTAATGCGGGCTTGAGACCAGCAGTAGCCTCCGGAGGGACTCCAGGCGGAGTTTTTAGTATATGTACCGCCGAAGCGAGTACTTCCTTTGCATGTCGTCAGTAAATTCTTATTGTAATCAACTTATATACTCATTAGACCGTAATAAACACAAGATTTCTTTGAGATTAATCAAGTTCGACAAAATATCATCATATTTTTCTATATTTATACGGTTTGTTGTCTTTTATTTCTGTATATGTATTCTTCTTTCTAGGTGGTTAGATTTTTCGCTACACTGTTACATGTTTCGAAATTGGAACCACCTGTAGTGGCAGATACCAATCAAAAATTGAGTGTTGTTGAAGCGCAAATTAAAAATGCCAAGATGAAACAAAGTATAAAATCGGAAAATCTACTTGATACGTGGTCATCGAATCAGCAGTTACCACCATCTAATCCGCAGTCAAATTTGATCCATTCTGCTGGTGTAGAAACACAATGGGATTACAGTAAGATTTCATCTCCTGAAGAGTATCTTTTAAATCCTAACGAATTATCTGCTCTACAAAAGCAACAACTTTCAATGCTCTCAGATGGTTCACGAATATCTTATTCCACTGGTGTGAATGGCTGCCAGTTTTCAAGTCATTACTATCCGAATCAAAACTATCTACAACAAAAGGGTATTCCATGGGGCGATTATGCTATGAATCAGCCAAATGAATCTGGAACAGCTAAGATACATGATAAATTGCTTAAAAAATTCCTACAATCTAAACAACAATCAAGAAGATCTACAATTCAACTTGAGTTCAATTTGGGTGACTTATGCAATGCATTAAAACAACTGATGCTGAAAATAGCTAAAAAAGATGAAATAGCTCAACGTGATCGCGAATGGCGGTTAGTTCTAATGACGATTGATCGTTTGTTTTGTTGGTTCTACTCCATTGTAGTCATTGTCGCAGGAGTGTACTTATTGTTCCCAAGAGGGCGTTCGCATACAGTCAACGAAATTATAGCGATGCATCAAGAAGCCTACGATATACGGAATCAAGCTGTTGCAAAGCAGTGTATGATGGGATACTCCAAAACAATATAACACTTTGGGTGGAACCTCAGTACTTAACCTTCTCATTGAGACCATCTGATTTTTTTCACCTTGTTGTCTTGTTATTTTTAGCTCGTAATCGCTTACCTTGATATCAATCGCTCGGTATTTTATGGCCTAATTTTAAGGTTAAACATTGTTAGCGTTATGGATTCATTTTATCCTTCATGTTCTATCATATTGATTACCTGAAGTAGAAATTTTTTTTCAATCTACTATACTCAAATATTTCTTTTTAAACGAAGTTATTCATTTCTGACTTTCCATCTTCACTCAGTCATTAACTTAGTAAATATTTATAAATTCAGTTTTTTATTTTGAAAAAGGGCTAAAAGTAATTAATTCCTCCAAAAACTAGTTTGAACAACAGAACATTCAATCACTATATGCTATAAACGTGTACTTATTACAAAGTAACTAAGTATGATCTGATGCTCCATATCGTATCGCAATTATATTTTAATCTACCGAGCACGTTAGGTGGTTAAAAATTTATTAGTAAGCTGAATGCTGCAGTATATATACCAAAGTAAAAGAATTACATAAAATAATTCATGGTCACTCCCAACGCACACATGTACTGTCAACTCTTTCAACTTATTAGTCATTATAAGGTGTTCGTAATTTTCTCAATAGTTGGCAATATAATTTCCCCTTAAGTTTAACTGGACAGGTCGTGAGGTCGGTAAAAATTTTATTATATCTGAATTGAGCAACTGTCGTAACAAAACTGCAAAACATACAAGTTTAGAAACGTAATAGGATGATCCAGAAATCCAGTCAAACTAAAAGATAGCGTTTCAAGCATGCGAACGCGTTTTATATATGATACATTCAATAAATGATTTCACATTGAATATTTGACACAAACAAAATATAAGTAAAGAATATTGGTGCTTAACGATTTCTAATCTTGGAAGAAAACATGTCAACATAGATAAAACTGGTGACCTTGATGGGTTGGACGTCGTCGATTCCGTTGCCTCAGCATCCACAATATTGTCACGGCTGATTATCACCTTTGTGCAGAGCTTAACTGCAAAAGGTGACAGAAGGTTTCCTTATATTAGTAAATATTAAAATCTCAGTCATGTTTGTCATCTTTGACTTGATGGCCAGAGAAGAATTGATTATATAAGCACTCGACTGGGATTATTCCTGAATGTATGTTTGAAAAATTGAATTACCGGACATGTATAATAGTAATAAATAATCACACAGACGAGCACAAGTTTACATGAGTACTGAATTAATGCATTCAACAGTAACATGATCTGTCAGATTAAGTTCTCTAAATGTGTTTACAGGTGTGGGTTTAACATATTTGTATAAAACCCCATCGTAATCCAGTGGAACATTTATTTAGTTTCAATTGGTCATTTTGGTCACTACCAATGTTTCCGTCACAATCTTCATTCGTTTCGTTATTTGGACTGAGTAACTGTGGTATTTGTACGAATTAATGATTCCTTTGTACCTCATTACCCTCTTATTACGAATTCAAAATACAATGCATTTGTTTGTGCTCATCTAGTTCTGTCTAGCGTAAATTTCACTGTTCCGGGAATTCCTAGTTAGTACACTGATTCCAATACTTCTAATCATCACAACAACTTCTACTGTTCTTGAAAATCCGTCAATAACTGAATAATCACAAGTAAGCGTTAGCTGTTAAGCTCAGGAAAAAGCTTATTTGTGTTTCTGAAAAATTCGACGCAACCTTTTTTTCCTTGGCCAAAAATAACTGCTAGTATCCAATATCTTGGAGACGAGCTTGTATAGGCCAGTCTATCACTTTGCGTTTGCTTCTTGTTGTTTCGGTGCAGTTCCAAATGATTTCACCAATTGTTCACAGACTGTATTTGTTTACGTTCTTTACACCCTATCGTTTATTTTCTTCACTATTTGATTACTATGGCATTTCATGTTATGGAAATTTAATGATATTCATTGATCAGTAATTTGTTGTCTATTTATCATAATTTGACCTATTCCACATGTTAAAGTATTGATTAGAAGCTTTATTTTCTCATTTTCCTTATCACTACTAGTACATCTGCTTTCTTACTATCAATTTGTACTTCTACTTTTATATTTAATTGTGTAATCTACTTCTTTGGGATCAGTGGCTCATTAACTACCCTGTCTCATTTAATATTTTTACATAACGATACTAAAATTCATGGATAACAGAGTGACGTTTTATGAAAATCTTATTAAAAACGGTACTATTCACTCGCATGTATTCTTCTATTTTATAATCAACAGACTTTATGTGGGTGACGAAATATAACTACCACATAGAAAACCAACATATTTTTTTATCACACAATGTGCAAAAATTTACAAATCTTGAATCAAAAATATTGTTTCCACAATTAGGATGTATTAAACAAGCGAATATTTAGGTAGTACAATGAGAAAAGGAAAGAGATTAGTTTTATACTTCAACAAGTCGTTAGCTGTGATAGTTCAATGTTTCTATGTTTTATCTTATAGAAACCAGATAGTCAAACACCCAGTTTCTGCACACGTATTTTTTCCGAAGACTCTCGCTTTAGGGAATATCAGTGTGTAGATGCAAACCGATTTAAGTATTTTGTTACCGTAATTGTACAAGACGAACTTCTTATTTTCATATCTCTGACTGACAAGTGAGTTCTTCGTTGTTGGATAATGTAATTCACATATGCATATCAGTTTGCTCAAATTGTACAGAAAATTATCACATCCCCGGTTTCAAATAGGTATCACTTCCTAATATGACCGGTTGAAAAAGCAAAAGTACATTCTTAACTTATCGAGATTCTAGTTCAACACTAGTCTTAATTTAATTCCATAGGATGAGTACTCAGAGTAACATTTGTTTTACATTTGGTGTGCTATTTAATTCAGGATAACATTGATCTACTTCTGTGTGATGTTTCCAGAATATGATGCAACGTCTTCAATACATTGTACAAACTTTCTCATCCAGATGTTCGTGCAACAACTAAGCTTATAGCAGAACGGTTTTGCTGGCCTGATATGAATAAAGATGTGAGGGAGTGGGCACGCTCCTGTGTAAGCTGCCAGAAATCTAAGGTTATTAGACATAACAAATGTCCCTTAGGCTCGTTTAAAACTCCTGATGCTCGATTTGACCATGTTCATTTGGATTTGGTAGGACCTTTACCAGATTCAAATGGATATTCTTATCTTTTAACCTGTGTAGACCGTTTTACTCGATGGCCAGAAGCATTACTCATCAAGGACATTACTGTTGAAACAGTGGCCCGCACCTTCGTCGAACGATGGGTAGTAAACTTCGGCTCCCTACTACAGATCGTGGACGCCAGTTCGAATCTGAACTTTTCCGTTGTCTGACCGCAATATTAGGAATCACTCGCTTTTGAACGACGGCCTACCACCCACAAGTAAACGGGTTGGTAGAACGCTTTCACCGACAACTAAGAGCTTCACTATCAGCCGCAAACATTTCTCAGTGGACTGACGCTCTTCCACTCGTCTTATTAGGTATTCGCAATGCAGTGAAATCTGGAATTGGAAACATTACGTCTCAACTCGTTTATGGTACGACCCTTCGACTTCCAGGAGAATTCGTGGATTCTTCATCCTCTTTGACGAACATGGATCTAACTTCCTACACGAACAGGCTTACAAACGTAATGCATTCAGTTAAACCTGTTTCCACTCGACCGCGATCAACTGATGTTTTCGTTCAACCTGACATACGATATAGTACACACATCTTCGTTCGTTGAGACTCACATTGACGACCACTCAAATCAGCATACGAAGGACTCAAGTACTATATATTCAATAAGAACGGAACCAACGATAGCATCAGCACCGATCGCCTCAAAGCAGCGTATTTAAAAGGAAATCCTATTCACGTCAACTTTCCCTCAGTACAATCTCACGACACGACTCCTGCATTTATAACACCTGAACGGAAAACCTACACACACGTTCATACTTCGATGGTATCAGAAAATAAACTTAAAACAACGCGTTCTGGAAGAAGAGTAAGATTTCCAGAACATTTGAACGATTACTGCAAGTAAAATACAAGTTGACATTTTATATCGTCTCGATTTTCCCTTGTACTATATATAAAAAAATACAATTTAATATTTTTATATTATAAAAATCGTTTTTTATGCTATTACGTGAGCCTAAGTTTATTTTCCATTTTCTCGCCCGCTTTGTGTCTTTACGCGCGTACGAGCGTACTTCGACATGCATTTACATAGTTTTTTTTTCTTTTCCAGGACGGCTGGAAAAGACGATAAAAAGAACAATGAAGTTTGCGAGAAACGGAAATCTTCATTGAACTTTTTCTTTTTTTAATATATTCTACTTCATGGTCCCTTATAGTAAGGAAAGAAGACCAGACGCTGCTAAACCTAGCAAGCTATCAGAAGAGTGTTTACCAATGAAAAACTCGCTGGGTTTAAACTTCTGGCTAGCCACGTCTTAGGGTCATCACTACTCTGCTAGGGGGGAGTGATCTGTAACGTTAGATTAATCCCTAAAATAAATAGCTCCGTAAGTTTTCGACATTGGATTCTGACCACATTAGTCTTAATGGACTCATCTAGCTGAAAACGCTCGATCATGCATCCGCACCAGATCACATGTGGGAACGCCGTGCTCAACATCTACTGCAATCGCTAGCCAGATTAGATCAGACGACCCTCGAAACACTGATAGCTTGTCAAATATATCTTCGAACATCCTCGCTTCTGTCCTTTGATTTCACTTGGTGGGTACGCTTCATATTGGAAAGTGTTACTGGTTAAAGCGTTGTCAAACTCCGAATACCTGTGGTATCTTCACTGTATTAAATTCACGTGAAATATGTTCAGAATGATATTTAGCGTGCGTTTTTGCTATAATTTCATGTGATGACGTTTTACTAAATAATGATCTTATGTGTGTACAAATCACGATACAAATGAGTGAATTTTCAATAAGAGCCGTCTTTGAGTTCTTATAGTGGATGAATATCCACTTGTATCAGCCTTGATGTTCTTACTTCGCGTCGTGGAAATCCTAGCGACTTTTTGTCACCAGAATAAATAATACGCTACGTGGGTATAACACTTCCCAACTTTCCTAATTCATTACAAACTGGATACTGAAGTCTGTTGTCAGTAGATAACTTGAAAACTCGCTTATATTTTAGCCAGACAATAAATTTAAAGTCATATGTTGTATGGTTTTACGCAATGAAAGTAAACAATTTTCAGCTCCTCATACAAAGATCATTTCAGGAACAACAACTGCGTTTCCTTGAGGTTGTTAGAGATAGATAGTTTTTAGACGATTAGAGTTGTCCGGCCGTCAATAACAACATGAACAAGGAAAAGTTTGAATGGTATCGCTGAATAGTTTAAAACGTCAAAGTACGTTTGCATAATGTTCAACAAAGTGCAATACAATGAGTTGGTAAATGAGGCATCTTTGATGTTCATTAAAATATAGTTTTTATTACTTCTCAGTACATTGCTCCGCACTTTCCAGTAAAACAAATGTGATTATCCATAACGGAACTGTGGTTGGCTACCGAACAGTATTCATTACATGCAAACTTCTGCAGTTGTCACTAGTGTCAGCGTAAGACAAACACTGACAGATTGACATCTACCATTCATATATCTGTGGTTGTTAACTTGCAACATTCAACATCTGACAACCTGAAAATATCAATTTTTCATAGTAAAGTATGTTTACGTGCTGGCTTATTTATTATTTATTTGAACACATAAGTATTGGTACAAGGGGGCACCAAATACGGAATAAAATTTCTGAAGTTATCCACAAATGATGATCACATGTCTGGTATTTTATGAATGATCCTCAAAAAAGTTATTGGCCCAACGCATCGATTACTTGAGATTTATAGTTAGTTCCCCAGACATTGTGGAGTCTTTTACTACTCTATCAAATTGGTTCTCCATGAAGAGTTGAGTGTCACAAAACTCAGACTTTGAATCACTGATATTCCCATCCCTTATTAATGACCATCCTCTAGACTTTTGATCTTTAGTTGGATGATCTCAATACCTTGGCAGAAATTGCTGGTCCTCCAAGAAGACTTATATAAACCATCTGTTTGAACTATCCGTAACCACTTTCATCGCAACAGAACGTTTATGGCGAACGGCAGTGGTACTACGTGCACTACGTACTTCTCAGAAGATTATAGAAGCACAACGACATAGGCATCACGCTTTGTAGTAATCATGGTTTGTTCCCCTATTTGCATTTCGTGGCCTTATTGGTAACCAAGCTAACATGAACCTTGAGTACTAAAAAGCAAATTATAGACGCTACAAAATTTTATAATCAAACAAAAGTATCGATACTTGCTATGCTCAGCCCAAATCTTTCTAGCTTTTTTTACCAAAGTAAACCAGTTGGTTGCAAACACTGTAAGTGGAAATAAATTAGGACCCCAAAGTTACAAAATTTACTAGAGGATAGCACTTTGAATACATCTTAGCAGAAGAAAACCCATGATCTCCAAACTGGTAGTCTGGAGTGAGAAGAACGTCTTAAATCTGAACGTGGTCAAGTGAAAATGCTTAACCTAGCTTCGCTAGCTAGAAATCCCCACTAAGTCTGAAATGGTCGAAAGACTACTAATTTTAAGTAATTATCACTATATCACTACACCTCTGTACATTTGTACATCGTGAAAAACGTCTGATATTTGTTATTGCCTTGTTCTGTACATATATCTGTGAAATATAAAACAGCTGTCAACTACCTACGTTTTAATCATCTTATTATATTCACTAAAACTACCTACATGAAAACGAGGTGCTCAAAGTCATCTAAAACTCACTTTGGTGTCTTTAGTTTGTAGTGACCTACTTTTGTCAACAGAACGCGATTGGTTCGATGAAAACAATTATTATTATAACCAATTGTACCAGTGATTGTTTTATTGTGCTCGTTTGTTTAACTGTGCTAATAACAGCCATTTTGGGCTTCCATTGTATTCCGTTGCTTTTACGCGGTTTTTGGACTACGCACGTATCTTATCTTGCCGATCGCAACTGTACTCCTTTGGCACGATCTCGGTATTCTTTCGATACCACGAGATCGCCAACAAATATATACGACTACTACAATCATTTGCCTTCTGATATTTTGGCCTATCGGAATTTTATTGGTCTATTGGCAAGTAGTCTGGTAGCGGTGTTCATAGTTCAGCTCAACTCGACACCACGCTACATTTGGTGACCCGAATTTTGGAACACGCCTCAACTTCGGTCAAATCTTCTGC